AATAGTTTGATAGCCCTTGGACAGGCATCACCTGTGGTTTGGGTAGCAGGTTAGAGTGTGGGTTCAGGTCTCTGCATGCTTACCTTGTAGAGTACCTTAAGGTGAGCTGGTTGAGTGCTAACCATCATTTTCATCAATTCATTGGTACTACAGCAGGTGGTGGCACTCATGCAGTGGGCGGGGTGGCAAGTGTGCTGAGGGTGTGTCTGGTTGTGTGGTTGTGGCAACTACTTTCCACTGGATGGGGATGGGGGATGGGGTAAGAATAGAGGGAAGGGAATATATATATGTATATGAATATATATATGTATATACATATATACAAATGCATAGTTGCAGGAATGTGTGATGTCAATTAAGGAAGTCAGGAGAGGGCAGTGCCCATCCACGGGAGGTTGCAGTCTTGTGGCACCCAGTCTGCTGGAGCACATGCCATCCATCACTGAAGTGGCAGGATGGGAGCACACATTGCCAATCATGGATGCACAGGCATGCATCACTGATGAACAGAAATGAACACTGCCTGTGTAAAGACTGTGGACATGTGGTGTGTGACTCATGGGAGCATATACAACTGGTTTGATCACAGTGGTGGTGAGTGCTCAGGGTTTGACTCGCAAGCGTGTACTGCAAGGCCTCTGAAGCAAAGAAAGGGAGGTTACAGTGGGTGGAGGTAGATCAGGCAAGGGAGGGTCGGTTAGGGGCATCACTGATCACTGGGTGGATGATGGGGCACACCTCTGGCACTGGGAAGTTGTGTGTGGTAAGAAGGAAGAGAGGATGTCATAGATAACGCCCCCCCCCCACCATCCAGTGGAAAGTGACTTCTATACATGACTGTGAGAGCTAAGGACCTCCTAAGTAAATACAGCCAGTTTTCCCTGCTCAATGCACTCCTTCATGAAGAGATCAGTGAAGATGAGGTGCTACATACAGCAAAGTGTGGTGAAGAAAGTATATGATGCCCCGCTATGAATTGGCGTCTTAAAGGCTTATAGTCCAACAAACAGCCATCTAAGTGAGGCGTCAACTAAGTCCACACGGAAGAAGCACACCCCCCTATTTGCTATCCAAAGATGACAAATAAAAATATCCAAATATTATGAAGGGAAAAGTATCAGAGCTTAAAATGTGGACACCTGGTTTGTAGATGGCGCAGGATGACAGCAGGAGGCCAAAATCCATCTGCAGAGCATCTGGTCAGATTACGCTTCTGGCAGACCCCCTCTGGCCACAGACAAGGGACAAGACAGCTTCATTATCAGAGATTATTGCAAACTTGCTAATGGTGGATCAAACTATGGTATGATATGATACTTGACCAGTTGACCCTCCACTTGACCCAATCTGAATTTTCTCTAGGCTTGAATATTTCTCACTTGTTGCATGACATAAATTTCTTCTCTGGCTTTTTAAATATTGTTGGTGGTCTTGTCCTTCTTACTCTATATTTTTACCGTTCTGTGATTATTTTTTCTTTCTGTTTAATTGTTTGGTTTTTATGGTTTCTGTTAGGTTTTATGTTCATGATGTACAGAAGGAGTGGATGCATAGAGAACATAACGGATGCAATGTTTTACCAGGAATAGGGGGTGCGGACGATGAGGGGGATTGGGGATCAAATAAAGAATGAAGGAGAGAGGAAAGACACTAGAACTGATTGTGATGATATATACACAACTTTTTATTGGGGGCTCCAACAGCTGTTATAAGAATCCATCTATCAGTTGTATCAAATATATTTGTACATATGTTGCCATCATCATTTCATAAACATTTACTTCCATCGAGTCCTTGATATCAGCTCCTCTTTTGTCCCTTCCCCCTCCCTTGTGTCCCCCTGATAAACTATAAATTATTATTATTTTCATATCTCACACCAACCACTGTCTCACATCCCCTAAGGGTTATACAACTCTTTTAAAAAGGGACTTAACTATGGAAATGAATGATTTGTGAATTTTGTATCAATAAAATTATTTTCTTAAAAATACAGTCAGCTGTCTGGTCCTTGACCCAACTCATTGCAAGGGGAGTGGGCTTCGCAAAGTCTAGCATCCGTAATTGCCATCCCACAGGTGTCCAAAAATGTGTGAGTGCCCAACACAAATGACCAGGGACCACGGGTGGTGAGTGGTTCTCCTATTTCTTGACTGATTCCCTGCTCTGCGGTTGCCTGGATCTCTGGTGTTTTCACCCACCCTCATGCACTTTCCTCTCTTAGATCAAATTCAACGTCTCCTCTTTCTTCACTCTAGATTTGTCTACACGATGTCTCTATCTTATTAGACATTCTGTTCAGTTACTTTCCAAAGACCTCAAATGACCAGGCTCTGCTTGGCCGGTGAGGAAGAGACCTCTACTCTATATCTCTCTGTGTTCACCAGGTTCAGTCCTCTTCTTCCCACCGGTGTTTGATCGGCCTGTATCTCAGGGTTTGGAAAACATCCTCTGCATCAGTTTCTCTTGAGTTTTCAGGTCTTTGGTCCAGAGCAGTGGTTCTCAACCTGTGGGCCGCGACCCCTTTGGGGGTCGGACAACCCTTTCACAGGGGTTGCCCGATTCATAACAGTAGAAAAATTACAGTGATGAAGCAGCAACTAAAATAATTTCATGGCTGGGGGTCACCACAACATGAGGAACTGTATTAAAGGGTCACAGCATTAGGAAGGTTGAGAACCACTGCTCTTCAGGGATTGTGCGGTAAGCCTGACTACTTCACCACCTTCACTTCAGCCCTCCTGCAATTTTTGAACAAAAGCGTTGGTTTTGTGGCCAGAATTGCTCCACGGACCTCTTATCAGACCAGGTCTATCCCCTTCCCCTCCAGTGGCTTCCTTTAGCAGAACATAGGCCTTCTTGTCTCCGCTTCCTCAAGGGCTGCTGAACTGGCCTGAGAATGATGATCATTTCCTCATTTTCCTAGTAGACTCAGGAAGGGAAAAAAATCTGTATCCAAATCTATGGTTGATAATTCCAGAAGAGAAAAAAAATTTTGATTTCCTCTTTTCTTTTAGAGCTTTAACTGTAATTCAACACGTACATATTTTGGAAGATTTTATAAAAGCTTCTCGTTCTGTCTTTAGAATACAGCATAAAAAGATCCAGAGTGCTGGGCAGTTCCATTTACTACCACTGTTCATTTATTTGGTGGAGGCGGAGGGGGTGGGCAAGATTTGTACTGACCCTCTTCAAGGGACCTGCGCCACAGTGCTGCCTCTCTACAGGGGATCCTTAATCCTTCCTGCATCTCTGTAAGGGACTGCTCACCCTTACCAAATATTTATAAGGGATTCATCCTTACATCAGCATTTTTATAAAGGACCTTTTTATCTTTATCACATCTCTATAAGGGAACAGTTCATCCTTGCTGCATCTCTGTAGGGAAACATCCTCATTTCTCTTGCATCTCTGAGAGGGACTGCTTCAACCAAGGCAGTGTTTACTTGTGTGCTAGCCCATCGCAGCATGTTTGAGAGAATTATTAGTATATTCCAGGTGATGCAAGTGATTAACACGCCTGCCTACTAGAAAAGCAAGCATAATGAGATAGCTGTACTCTAGACAAGCCAGCCACTGAAAAACCCTAGGAAGCACACAGTTCCACTGTGACAGACACAGAGCCACAGGGAGTCAGAATTAACACGATGACAGTTAGTGGCAGCCACTTGGGGAAATAAGGGGAGTGGAAGCCATAGAAAAGTGGGGGGAGGGGGGGAATTTTGATGGAGCTAAGCCTAAAAATAACAAAATCTGGATGGGAGCTACTTCTGGGAACTGGCAAGAGGGCTCTGTAGCCCTCCCTCAGAGACTCACCATGAACATCCACATCTCTCTGCCTGTCTCCCAACACCCTCCACTGCCCCCGTGTCCATGTACTTGGCTTCTAGTCCTGGCTTGTCGGTGTGGTCTAACACTTCATCTGGTCAAGACAGCCCATGTCCTGAACTTCATTTCTTCATTTTCTTATCATCCATCCTTGGAGCATAAGGAGCTCTGGGGGCACAGTGGGGTTCACTTTGGGGCTGTTAACCCCGAGGTTGGCAGTGTAAGCCCATTAGTGACTCAACAGGAGAAAGATAAACTATTCTGCTGATGTAAAGATGTATGTACAGCCTGTGGGGTAATTCTACTCTTTGCAAGTCCCTACAAGTCAGAGGTAACGTCACATCAGCAGATTCCATTTGAGGGGGTTTTAAGCATCATCTTCTCTCTAGGCTTCTCGATTCATGTCTCAAACATGTAATCCAATCGCATTCACACAGAGACCATTCTCCGAGCTATGAATTAGATGTTCTCAAGTTTGCCTGAAGAGAGGGGAGCACGTGATGCTCGTGTGACAGTTTCATCAGCATGGGCGGTGTGGGGGTCTGCGGGCATATGCGTGTCTGCCCCTTGATTCATACTCCTGGGAGACTGTCTGTTGTTCAATGTGTCAGCCACAAATCACACGCAGTGATTTCAAGTTCAAGTTCACTAACATTAAGTCAAACACGTGTTCCTTGGATACACTTTTCAAATGTCTGGTCGCTACATGTGGCTCCGACTACTGCACTGAACATTGCACCACATGAAGCCCTTTTCCACATGGCAGAGAGCTCTGTTGGACTGGGATAACTGCCAGGAGTGAAAAGGTGAGACACCTGTCCCCTGGGAACCAACCAGAACCGTCACACCGAGCCTCAAGGATCCCCCCATCACAATATGCATAGCCCACAGGATCGACTCAGAGTGCTCCAGGGCTGTCCTAGAATGAGCCAGGGCTTACCAAAGAGTCTGCCTGATGGTTGTTTCAGGAGCACTGGGCCTCTCTGATGCAGACTCCGTTCCTCAGGGATACTGTGATATGGACATTAGGCCATCTTTCGGGATTGATTCTAATAAACACACGGTCCCGATGGCAGACATCTAAGAGATGGAACTTGAAGGCATTTACATCACTGCTCCTCCTGATCACATAGAGAGCAAAATCCCCACCTTCAGGTTTCTCCTGAACACCTTTACACTGACCTCTCCTTGCACAGCACTCTCCGCAGGGCGCCCTTCACCTCTGCGTTCCTCAGGCTGTAGATCAGGGGGTTCAGCATCGGGTTGAACAGGCTGTAGAACAGCGAAAGGATCTTCTGCTGCTCCTCAGGGTGGCTGGACTTGGGGGCCATGTACATGACAATGGCACTGCCGAAGAAAAGCCCGACCACGCAGAGGTGGGAGGAGCAGGTGGAGAAGGCTTTTCTGCGTCCCTCCCCAGACTGGATCCTCAGGATGGCCACGAGGATGCGGGTGTAGGAGACCAGCACCAGACAGAGGGGCCCCACTAAGATAAACACAGACGCGGCAAAGATGACCACATGGTTCAGGCTGATGTCCTCACAAGCCAGCTTGAGGACAGACAGAAGTTCACAGAAGAAGTGGTTAATCTTATGAGGCCCACAGAAGGGCAGTCTCAGGAGGAGGACCACATGGACCAGGGCCAGAAGGGAGCCACACACCCAGGAAATGACAGCCAAGACCGTGCACACCCTCCAGCTCATGATGACAGTGTAGTGTAGAGGGTGGCAGATGGCCACATACCTGTCATAGCACATCACCACCAAAATCAGGCACTCCGTGTGCGCAAAAGCCATGTACAGAAAGGTCTGCATGATGCAAGGGACAAAGAGGATGGTCCTTTCCTTGCTCACCAGGTTCGCCAGCATCTTGGGGACATTGTTGGAGGCATAGGATATGTCCACAATGGCCAGGTGCGAGAGAAAGAGGTACATGGGAGTGTGCAGCTTGGAGTCTAGACAGATGAGCCCCAGGATGGCCCCGTTCCCCAGCAGAGTGAAGGCGTAGAACAAAGAGAAGAGGCCGAAGAGGAGCAGCTGGATTTGGGGTCCAACAGGAAACCCCAGAAGGATGAACTCTGCGATTGAGGTTTGGTTTGTTGTCATGCCCTCGGGCAGGCCTGTACGGGCCACTGCTGCAGCCGGTGCTCTGCGTGGGGGCAAATGCAGGTAGACGTTAGTGTTGCATATAAAGGGAGACTGCATGGCGTAAGCAATGGTAGACTTATTTGTTTACAGAGACATCCCATCAAATCTCATAATCCACAAAAGCAGGAAAAAAAGTTCACTTCCAGTAGCTAATGTAAATGTATAGAGTATAATCACGTGTAGTTCACACATAGACACGTATGTGGGTGAGCGATTATCTATGTGACCTTAGCAATATAGCATGCCTACAGCCACTTCCAACCGCCTTGCAGTGCTACTTTCACGGTTCTTGGTGGGTCTTGTTTATTACTATGACCCACTGCTTTGGAACACCGCCTAGCACATGTGTGGGCTAAATGGAAGAGGGGGAGGAAGGAGGGAAGGAAGGGTAGAAGGAAGGAGGAAGCAAGGGTGGAAGGAAGGAAGGAAGGAAGGAAGGGTGGAAGGAAGGAAAGAAGGAAAGAGGAAGGAAGGCAGGAGGAAGGAAGGGTGGAAGAGTGGACATATGAGTGGATGGAAGGTGTTGGGTTGATGACTGAGTGGGAGGATAGGTGAAGGGTACCTGTGTGGATGGATGGGTGGTTGGGTGGATGGATGGGTGAATGGGTATGTGGCAGGCATTACACTATGAACAACACCCAGTGGGCATATCCTGGGTGTTAATCAAGTCCTTTTATTCCCCTTTTATTTCTTTCCTGTAACTCCATTGGCCACCTGATCACCAAGCTCTAGAAAGAGAGAACTGAGATGATCCAGAGAAGCAAATGCCCACTGCACAACCAATGGGTCAGTATCCACAAGCTGCTTAAGTCCTCACCTCTGAAAACACCAAGCCTGTCTCAAAGCCCAGAAAGCCACCCGCCTGTGAGTGGAATTGTCCCTCCAATGCAGTGTATGGATTTCTGGAAACGTCCTTCTTACAAACCCTCTTTTCTAAAAAAATGACCACCCTTTACAAAATACCCATTACATACTGTGGGACCAGCCCTGGTCTTTTTTTTTCTCAGAGCTCTGCGTAGTTTTCAAGGAAATTACAGAGGGCGGAAGCACTTGTGAAGGTCCAGTCTAAACCTGTGCTTCCTGGGGATCTCTGAAAGAGACCTTCATTGTTCTTCCAGCAGGTTCTTTCAGTGAACACTGGGCCTGCTCACTTTGAGAACCAGGACAGAATGTTTTATTGTAAGGCCATCACCTGCCTGCACCCCTTTCCTGATCACCCCTGAGGGTTTTGTAAAGGGAGAGGAGGCAATTAAGCTCAGCACAAAGGCACCCTCTTTACCAGGAGACCCAAAAGCTGCTGTGAGCCCTGGGGGGAATGTTCAGGAGGAAAGGAAATGTTCAGGAGTGACTGAATGCCCAGATGGATCCATGCACATGAAGCTCGTTTAGCAACAGAACATATACACCCCTGGGATCACAGGACAAATTGTATCTCCGGGTATTGGGATGATAATGGTGCCATGGGCTTTAATCTTGCTCTTGAAAAAAGATGAGGCTTTCTACGCCCAATAAAGATTTAAACTGAGAGAAACCTGTCAATCTTGTGCTGGTTTTCAGTGGCTAAAATCTCAGAAGTTGATAGTCTATTCTTTGTTCATGATCTGCTCTTATTCTGGAAGCTCTGCTGAAACCTCTTCCACTGGGGTGACCCTAATGGCATTTGAAACACAAGCAGCAGGGAAGCCATCAGAGCACGATGCACTGTCAGACAAACTGCAGTGAGTTCATCTTTGTCCATAGCAATGGTAATGGTCCTACCGTAATCTAGGTAGATTAATGGCCGTGGCCTTCAGTATGGATTTTGACTCACAAGTGGACCAAGAAATAACAGCATGGAAAATGGAGAGAAGATTCAACTTTTCAAGCAATTCATGCTGGTTGGATCTACAAGCAATATTCATAGAAGCAGCAGCCAAGAAATCGAAGGATGCATTTTATTGGGCACATCAACTGCACAAGACCTCTTTAACGTGTTCAAGAGCAAGAGCATCACATTGAAGACTAGGGTGCATCTGACCCAGCGTGGTGTCTTCAGTTGCCTCAGCTGCACGAGGAAGCTGGACAGTGAGGAAGGAAGACTGCAGCAGAATCAGTGCATTTGAACGATGGTGCTGGCGGGGGATGGGGACAGCTCCACGGAGTACCAAGAGAACAAATCAACCTTTCTTGGAAGACATTCTATCAAAAGGCTCTCCTAGAAGCAAAGGTAGTGAGACTTTGTTTCGCATACTTTGGACAAGTTATCAGGACACAAGTCCCTAGACATAGACATAAAGCTTGATAAATTAATAGAGCATTGAAACAGAAGACCCTCAACAAGGTCAGTCGACACAGTGGCTCCAACCTTTGTCTCAAATAAGACAATTGTGAGGATGGTGCAGGACCAGAAAGTGTGTCATTCAGTAGCGTATAGGGTCTCCATGAGTCCCCACCAGCTGGATGGCACCTCCCAACAACAAAATGTTCATCTGTTTAATTTTTGGAGAAACCACCAAATTGTTTTCCATTCCAAGTGGACCATTGTATGTTCCCACTAACAACAGACAAGGGTTCTCTTTCCCCGTGTCCTCGCCATCACTTGTTATTTCTATTTTTCTCATAATATCCATCTTAATGGGTGCGATGTAGGATGGATATTATGTCATACTCTGACCTGTGGGTCAAGGTGAGTCAGAAGTGACTCAATTACAGTGAGTGTGCAAGTGCGAGGTGTGATCTGCTACCTTGTGGTTTCAATTTGTATTTCTCTAATGGTTAATGATATTTCTTGTGCTTAGGGACCATTTGTATATGTTTGCTGAAATAGCGGTTCTTACATTTTATCCATTTTAATTGGGTTGTATATCTTTTTGTTGCTGTTGTTATTTATTGATTTGTACAATTTCTTTATATGCTTTGAATATTAAATCTTTGTCGGATACATGGTTTTAAAACTGAATACATTGTGTTTAGGGTTTAGAACATTTATGGTCAACAATGTTAAGATGCTAATCATACTCAAAGTGATCGATAGATTTAACACACATCTATAAAAATTTTAACAATCCTTCTTTGCAAAAGTTGTAAAACCCAACCCACAGTGCATGTCAAATTACAAGGCTCCCTGAGTAGCCAAAGCAAACCTGAAAAAGAATAACTATGAGGACTCAAAATTCTCAATTTCAAAATATAAGATAAAGCTACAAAAATCAAAACAGTCTGACCATGCCTTAGTAACAGACACATAGACCAACAGAATAGAATCAAGACTCTAGAAATAAGCCCATACATAAAGAGCCAACTAATAATTTACTCAGTGTATTCCACCTCCCAACCACGCCACCACCACACTCGTTATCCTAGAGGGTTTCAAGTTGACATGATTCCTGCAATGCTCCCCTCTCCCCCTGCCCCTATCCCTGTACCAAGCAACTGGTTAAATGTTGATTCTTTGTGCAGGGAAGAATAGATGGGAAACATAGGGTAATCTGATTTCAGGAGTCTGAAGTTTTATTTTCGCCGTGGAGTCATCTCTGTTCCTATATTTTCATATTTGTGTCTTACTGGAAATTCCATGCATAAAGGTTTGCATAGGGTGAAACTATATTAAAAACAGGGGTCACTGCAATCAAGTCGATGATGACCCATGGTGACCCCACACGGGAGGGAAAAGGCATCTCATGTAAACGTCCAGCCGACTTGCAAGTTGGATGAGCATCTGGACACATGTGTTTATGCATCGTGTTTTCCTAGGAATGAGGTCGCCCCTGCCTCAGACTGGCTATTTCCCTGAGACTCTCTCAAATGTGAGTATCTCCAGGGCTGCTGTTTAGTTGACCCAGTGAGCTCTTCAGCCTCTTGACACCCCCTCCCCTCCCCCCACCCAGGATAAAGAGTTCGGGTGTGGAATGGTTGGGAGATTGAATACACTGAGCAAATTGTTCACTGGCTGTCCGCACCCCACCCCAGCAAATTATTCACTGGCTGTTTTAAGAATGGGCTCATTTCTGGAATCTCAATTCTATTCGATTGGCCGATGTGTCTGTTCTTAAGGAAGTACCAATCTGAGTGACAGAGACAAAAGAGGAGGGAGAGACGGTGGGGTACAGCCCTCCAGGGCTCAGAATGTCACAAAATTCCTGTGGTTTCTAACGGAGTCTCCCTGATGTCTACATCAACAGGGACCCCATCACTCAGAGCTTCTTTAATTTTTCCAGAAAATAAGCCTGCAGCCTCCTGCTGGGTGTGAATTATTGTCTGGGGCCGGGGTGGTACTGGGTTTGGAAAATCCAAGGACTCTGACAAGCATTGTCCGCTTATCTCTTGTTTCCATCCCTTTGCCTGCCACTCACCTACTAACACTGTCAATGTCCCGGTTGGGAGCCTTGACAGGGGTCCTTGGAGTGAGTGAGTCTCAGATCTCATTGGTCTCCTCCAGAGAACTTGTTGCCCCGTCATTTCTTTTCTAGTAAGTTAGCTACCAGTCCTCTGTCTGATTCCATAGGTTGTAATAACTCTTGTGCACCATCCAGTTTGTTCCAACCCATAGCAACCCTGCACACCACAGAATGAAACACAACCTTCCTCACAATTATCCGTTTTTTAAAATGCTGCTCTTCTCTATTCTGTGGTGTCTCCTCTCCCACTTTACTTGTTCTTGCAGCTTGTGTGTTTTGCTTTACTGACATTTACTGTCTGGGAACAGAGTAGGGATAAATGTGTTAATAAAAAAAGATCTACTTAGATTTTGTCGATTAATTCTTTACTCTAAAGACTTTATCTCCAAAATTCATTGAATCAAATTTATCTAGAGCAAACTTAAACGCACATATGTATTACATGCATTCACATATGTAATATATGTATATCTATACTTAGTAGATGTGTGTATGTATCTATATGTGTACATACATACTTCAAAAAGTTCATGGGGAAAATTTTAATTCAATTTTTACATGAAGCATATAAATATATAAAATATGGAATTGGCAAGTGTTTATATGCTAACATCAGCAAATAGATATATAGATAGACATATATATACATATATATAAACATTTGCCGATTCAACATTTTCTGATGTTCCCTTTAGGGGTATCAGTGTACGTTAAACATGTCGTTAGGTAAATTATTTCGCACAGATGTTTCTCCAGCTTATTCAGGAAAGTCTTCTGACAGTCAGTCCCTCGCTGGCCCTCTCTTCTTAGCAGGCATTTCAGAGATGGGGTTTCCATTCACCAGGAACTCATGACCGGGTAGAAGGGAAACTACCACTGGGATTTCCGAGAAGAATTGGAGTGTGCAGTTAGAATTGGAGCAGTATTCCAATGGAAAACCACCGGTTGGCATAAATGAAAACATGGAGATTCCAGTGAGAGGGTCCCAAGGAAGATGGGCCTACGGCAAGAGACAGAGAGACCACAATAAAAGAACGGACTGGGGAGTCTTTGATGGGGGCCACAAAACACGGGGGGGACTGGAAAGGGCAGAGGCTTCTAAGATAAGCTTATATGGGCTACAAAGATTTACAGTCATAGTCAAAAGATGCTTACCATGTATGCTTTTTAGAACAGGCTATAAAAATGTCTAGGTTGATGTAAAGCGTTTATTGGACTGGAGTTGGTGATAAAAATTAGCACTAGGATTCTATCTTAGAAATGACTCGTTCCAATGACACTTGCTTGGCTGTCTGGGTGACTGAGATAAGTTAGCGGTCCAGGACTTCTTCTTGAACTGTCTCTACACCTTTATCCATCACGAAGGGAATCTTTCTCTAGGCCACTATATAGTGATGGATCTGGACCCCGAGCCCTTTCCATTAGGCCTATCCCTTCTATGTTTTGGCTTGTTCACAGGAGATGGGAAAAAAGATAAAAAAAAAAAACTTCCCTTAATTATTTATTATTGCTTAAACAGGGAAAAGGCCCAACGACAGGCAGCTGTGGGAAGTCGATCTAACATTGCTGAAAACAAAGTGAGCTGGTTTCATTCAGGCATTTTAAATTATTTAATTAATTTTTGATAAAGGCTGAATTTTTTTCTTTTCGTATTACCAAACTTACATTCTGGAAGAGTTTATTACATCTACTCAGTTACTTGAGGAACTTTCACTGTCAGACAGGAATCACACAACACAACACATTTCTAATTGTCATAGGACTTGCTGACAACCCAGAACCTCATTATACTTTTGATCAAAGATTGAAATAATTTTTTGTATAATCTGAAGCCTCTTTGTGGAATTCCATCAGAGGCACCATGTCAGCATTTCTCCTGTCTGCTCCAACTACAAGGAGTCCAGACCCCCTCGGCTCTTCTTCTAGTTACCTGAACCCCAGCTGCATCTTGTTTGCCCAACTGTCAGAGGACAAACGTGGAAACCCATGGGAGCCCATAAGGTCAGAGATCCAAACGAAAGGTCACCATGGATCCAGTCAAAAAAGGAAACTGAATGAAAGGATTTTCTCTATGAATTGATGATCTCAATCAAATGTCCAAGTTCACTTGTGGGTGTGTAGACATATACATAGAATGTGGGTGTTGTTTTACTGGAGGAGGAGAGGCCACCTGGCAGGGTTGTCAGGTTGATGAAGACCAGAGGCAGGGCCATAGTAGGTGGATCCTAATAGAATGGGAGAAAACTTTTGAACCGATTTCAAAGTGTTTAAGTCCAGTCTCATTAGACCAGTTGTGATAGAGGGCACCAGGAGACTATGACCCGGGGTATTCTTTAAACTTGGAGCCAGAATTGTCCTCTTGTGTCACCTTTGACTATGTAACCGATTGGTTCACTAACTAATGGACATCATCCACGAGTCCCAAAATTCTACCAAATTAAAAAAAAATCTATATGAGACCAAATGTTCAACATGACTTTCAAGCAGGGGAAGCAGATTGCTGGAAATGGGATAATTCCAACAGAAATAACCAGAATGGTGACACACTGTGAAAACCATTACCTTTGTCATTGAACATCTTGTAAAGAAATTGTGGAATAGGAACCTGGCTTGCTGTGCAATGTGTTACGAAAAAACTCAGTGAAATGTTATTTTGGAAAAACAAACGCGTGAAGCGCTAAGCGTGGGGTGTGTGCTTGATGAGTGTGTACTGCAGGGCGCAGGGGCTTGCCGCTGCAGAGTGAGGCAACACTCCACATCCTCCATTTGGCAGCCAACAGGCCATCGCCGGGAGCCTGAGGCGTGTCCTCAGAGAGGAGACCAGTGAGAGCCCTTCCTAACTCTGGCCTGCTAGAGTTTTCTCAGTATTCTCCACCCCTACCTCTGTCCCTCAGCACATGTGAGTGAGCCCAGAGAGATTCCAAGTTGCAGGGTTGGGTGGCTGCAGAGCCGTCCCTTGCAGGGTTCTCAGAAGTCTCCATGCCTCCCTCTCTGAGCTCTCACAATCCCCACTAGAGAACCACGTCCCACCCTTTCAGAGGTTCATTAAAGAGACACAGCTGGAAAGTTGCCCCAGGCACCTTGGCAAAGATTAAGAAACAAAACAAAAACTTTTTAATTGATCTCAAAGGGATAGAGAGTATTTCAGAATTTTCAAAGTGTCGGGAAAAACCTCCTGGTAGCATTCATTAAAACTCTGCCACCATTAATTATGGTGCAGCTCTCTCGGTGTGTGACTGCTCACAACACCATGGGGCCTGATGAGGAAGGGCCCGGCAGCTCGACAGAGGCCCCAGAGGTGAGACCTAATGGGCCCACAGATGCCTTCCCCGGGACCAGCGCACCAAGCATTTTATCAATGGGCTTCATCTTTTCCCATTTGCGCATTAGAATACTAAGCCAAGTAAGCTTCAAGCTGCTGAGCGTTTTCAGCTCCAGCAAAAGTCTAGGACTTTCCTGTACAGCTGTTGCCAGTCATCACAGTGCGCTGAAGCAGTAGTTAGCCATTGCTTCCCTGGAGATGAGCTGACGACATTAAATAACTCACAAGGTCACAGCAAGTGTTAACCCTGGGGTCTGAAAAAGACTCCAAAGGCTCCCCATTTTCTCTGCGGACACA